CTCTCTTCTCTGATTCTGACGAGAATCCTGGAACACCGGCAGGTCAGAGCCAGGAGGGATCTCCCTCCCCAACTCCCTTGCCTGGTCCTGGAGGGCAGAGTGAGGTGCTGGGGATGCCAGCTGCCGAATGGCCGGCTCTGTCCTCATGCATACGTATGGAGGGGCTTCCTAGCCCGCAGAGCTCCAGCAGTGGGATGAGACCTTCCAACTAGGCCAGGATGGCCCCTCTTGAGGGCGCATACCCACTCAGCTCTGCCGTCTCTCTTCCCTAAGCCAGTGGGACCTGTCGCTGGGGAAGTGGGGGCCCGTGTTCAGGATTAGCTCGAGAGTGACTCAGCCTCTCCGTGGGAGTGCCATGGTGAGTGGGAGGGGCCGCTTCGCAGCAGGGGGAAGGGGAGACGGGGCTGAGAGCTGAGAGCTCTCCCTTCCTCCGAGCCCCTTGACATTTGGGTCGTGTGCACAGAGCCTGGCTGCCGATGTTGGGCGGTGAGCCCCCTCACTTTGGCTCTCTTCGGCTCTTACACACTTGGGAGTCTGGGCTCGGTCTTCGGGTCTCCCTACAAAAGGTGATCAGGAAGGCTCTCACTATACAATACAAGTCAGGTATGAGACAGGTATTTATTTCCTGTGCACAAAAGATGCAAAAAACTTACAGAACATACCAACAGAACACACAATCAGTTTGCAGAGATTTTTATAAATATTACCTGATTCGATCTTCACATTGACTTAGCTAGGTAGATGCTGTTATTATCCTTATTTTACAGCTGAGGAAACTGAGGCAGACAGGTTAAATGATTTGCCCGGGGTTACACAGAGCTGGGTTTTATCTGCCATGTACTCCTGGCCACGTGGAGGCTGAGGTCGGGGGAGCCCAAAAGAGGGACGCTTGCCCCTAGTTGTGGCTCCTTTTCGAATGGCCCACTGAGTCATCTTCAGCTTTTCCTGCCCAGTGGACAATAAGAGGATGCTCTGTTCTCCTAAAGACGGTGCATTGTGTGTGGAACAGAGGGAAGGCAGAGCTCTGGGGAGCGGAGCAGTCTACAGGTGAGGGTGTCAGAGGCTGCCGAGAGGCCCAGAAGGAGGAGGATTCTTAGGGGCCGTTGGATTTGGCAACTTTGAAAAGAGCACGACTGAATGATGGATTTGGAAGCCGGGATGTCTGGGGTGCAGAGGAGAGGAATTGGAGGCTCCTGGTGTGTGCCCATTCAAGGAGTTGTCTGGAAAAAGGGGAGGGGAGATGAAGGATGATCTCTAGATGGAGGAGAGAATGGAATCTGGTGAAGATTCTTCAGCGATGGGGAAATGCAGACATGTTTTTCGGCAGCAGGGAAGGAGCCAACAGATAGGGAGAGATTCAAGATGAGGTGGGGAGGGATGAGGATGGGGGCCGTCTGATGGACAAGAAGGGAGGAGCCGGCCTTGCTGGGAGAATGGCCAGGAGGGAAGGAGGAGGTGGTGGCCGTGATGGCGGAGGTATGTGAGATGAGGAAAGGGCAGAAATAGGGCTCAGTGAATGGCCTTGGATTCCTCACATGGGAGGCCGGAGATGGCTGTGCTGTGGGAGGCCTGATGAGAGCAGAGAGAGTTTGGCATGTGGTGGATGGGGTGGCACAAAGCACCTGGGGGTTCCCTGTGGAGGAGATTGGATCGGGGCCCCTGCACAGCTCAGTAGAGAAATCCCAGGAAGGTGCAGCAGACACCCGGTGATGAACTGAGTTGCCCAACCTTGTGTTATTGCTGTTAAATGTTAGGCACTGGGCTCGACCTGGGTCTTTCTGACCTGAAGCCCAGCCCACCATGCCTCATGGCCTGTAAGGGGCACACGAGAGCTGCCAGGTCACTGTGTAGCACACCCTGACCTAAGTGCTAGGGTGTGAAGACACAGGACCCTGATCTCCCATCATCCCAAGCTCCTGACTCTCTCTGACACAGCGGATCCAGATGGTTGCCAGATCTTCCTGTTTCTACATTCATAGCACCCATTTTGTCCAGTCTTTTCTCTCCTCTCGCATAGCCACCAGTATGGCGGAGAGGTAGAATTCGCACCCGGGTCTTCCCAGCTCCGAGGCTGGTTCTCCATTCACTCTTCCACACTGATGCTCTGTCTGTACAGATACAAGGAAAAACAACTCTTGGAAAGAAATTGGATTGAGGCATCATACAGATCAGACCAACACGCATTTATTAAGTACCTACTGAATGCAGACACTTCACATGCCTCAGCGTGCCCAAGAAAGACTGACTGCAGACAGGCTTGGGCCAGCCTAGCGGAGGAGACACGTGCCAACCATACTGCACAGACAAGGTCTGGGCTGGACAAGTTGGAGACATTTGTGGGGGGAGGCTCTAGAGTGAGGGTGCTGGGGAAGACTTCTTGTAGAGAAGGTGGTGTCTCAGCTGGGACTTGGTGGAAGCCAAGGCAGAAATAAGAGGGGAGAACCTCCCAGGCCTGGACTGTGGAGATGGGCTTGCCAGCAAGGTGGCCAGGGAGGAGGAGGGGAGGAAGGTGGAAGAAGAGGGAAAGGTAAGAAGGAAGGGCTTTTGGGGAAGGAGGCTTGGATTTTCCTGCTCGGCCCTAGAGGGCAGAACTGGTGCCCATGGGGAGAGGCCCCAAGGAGGCAGATTTTGTTCTGAGTCAGAGAAAGGCTCCTGAACAACCTGAATGTTGCTCCAAACTGGAACAGGGGAATTCCTTGGGGAATTGTGGGTGCTCTGAGCCTGGAGATCTTTAAGCACTGGGGCTGGGCGATCTCTGGTCAGGGATTCTGCGGGGAGGAGTTATGCTTTGGGCGTGAGTTAGACCGGATTGTCACTGACGGCCTTTCCATCCGGAAGCCGCCATGACTGTGGGTTTCTGCACGGGGTCTAGAACATAGGCCTGTAAGGTCACCCAGCTGGCCACGTGTGCCAGCAGGAATGGGAGGAACCGGGTCTTTGATCCAAGTCTGCCATATGGAAAGAATATTAGGTCTTGTTGCCGTCCAGCAAGAGAGTGGCCAGCCTGCAAAGGAGCAGGCGCATTTGTCACTTGAGGTTTCCAAGGGGAAGCTACGTGACTTCTTATTGGGGGTTAAAGAACTGGGGAATCTCAGCGCTGGGAGCCACGTGGATGGATTTGTACCTGGGCAGGGATCCCCATCGACCTCATCTGGCCCTTGTGCTAGGGGTCCCCCAACTCCCAGGGCAGCTCTGGTTGTGAGGAGGCTTTGCCTGTTGTTGGCGAAGACCCTGGAGGGTCTCTCCTCAGTCTTCATTGACCAGGCTAAGTGCCTAAGCACAGACTTGGATCTGGAAGGAAGGTCAAGGTCACCTGGCCCGTTTTCTCATTTTACAGATGAGGAAACCTCTCCGCTTCCTTTGATGGATCCTTGTGTGCTGTGATTTCCTCACCAGAACTGAACACAGCCTCCAGAGGGGGCCTGCCGCGACAGAAGGACATCCCCTCCCTGCTTCTGACACCTCCCCAACACTCCCATTCCCTTCACTGCCGACCCACCTTCCCTCCCAAAATTCTCTAGCATCCACTTTGTATGCATTATATGTGTGTGTGTGTGTGTGTGTGTGTGTGTGTGTGTGTGTGTGTATTGTCTCCGGTCAGGAGCTGTTTTATCGTTGGGTCTGTGCACCCAGCGCCAAGCACATGGCCTGGCCACGAGCAGAAAGTGAACAAATGCCTGTTGATTGGTGGCTGGGTTTGCAGGTCACTTGGACACCCCCCTCCACCCCAGATCTCTTTCAGGCGAACCTCTACCTAACATCTAACCACATCTCCCCGACCCTGTACTTAGGAAGCAGACGTATTTTTAAACTCCGGTGAGAGGGGATTAATTCTTTAGGCAGCAGTTGAGTGGAGCAGGATTTCTGAGTTGTTTTTGTACCCTGAGCCCCTTTGGTGATCAGTCCAGTGAAGCCTGGGGACCACTCCTCTGATCATGCTTCCAAATACATAAAATCAAGGATGGAGGATACAAAGGACATACAGTTATCAAAGTGTATTTTAAAAACAAGTCCACAGGCTCCAGGTTAGGAACATCTAGACTGGATAATCTGATGTCACTGGCAACCTGGTACAGTGGGGAAAAGGGACCACTTGGCGACCAAGAATCTGGATTTAAGTCCTGGCTGTGTTCTGAGAGGCTGGTAGCACAGTGGTTAGTGCCCTGGGGTCAGGAAGAGCTGAGCTCAAGTCCAGTCTCAGACACTGACTAGTGACTCAGTTTCCTCACCTGTAAAATGAAGATAGTAACAGCACCTCCCTTCCAGCCCATGCCCTTCCATCAAATGAGATGGCATGGGCAACGTGCTTTGGAAACCTTAATAGGAGCTATACAAATGTGAGCTCTTGTGCCCCTGGCTGTGGCAGAGAGCGTAGAGTCTGGGAGGCCGGGGTTCAAGTCCAGTCTTTGCCACACGCTACCCACAAGGCCAGCGAAGTCATTTAACCTCTGAGTGTCCCAGGAAATTCTCTGTAAAGTCACAGAGGACCGTGGCTCACGGAGGGCTTTTCCACAAGGGGCGGCCGTGGGTCTGCCCCTGAACTTCCTTCCTTCAAGGGCCTTCATCTGTCTCGTGATTTAGGGGCTGGATAAAAATTCGTTCTTCACCTGAGGTCTATGAATGTGGGTTGTTTTTTAAAAAACATTTTGGTAACAATTTCAGTATCATTTTCAATATAACTGGTTTCCTCTGTAGTCCTGTGTCCTTTACACATTTAAAAACATGCTTCTGAGAAGGCATCCAGACTGAGGCCTAAGGGGTCCACAGACCCCCTGGATTAGATAATGGCTAACGCCCTTGGGAGGTATGAAGACGATGATCCTGTGGTCCTAAAGCCCCAGTATCCAAGACTTTTGTGATTCCCTTCCCCACCCCGCACCGGCTCCCTCAGCTCCTGGGTCAGTGAGCGCTCCAAGGTGTTTCCTCCTCCTCTCTGGGCTAGATTCAGGCTCCACCAAAGTGCCCTCCCCAGGGCCACGGTCTCTCCTTTTGCTTCCCAGATTCGCCAGATAGCAGCCCCACGAAGCCCCTGCTCATCGGCATCCTGGTACTGGTCTTATTGTTCATTCTCTCCGTCCTCCTCGCCAGCTACTTCTTCAGGTAGGCGTCTTCTCTGACGTGCCTCTTCCAGCCCGTTCAGGCTTGTTTTGATATGATCTAATGAGGAAATGAGAGCACACATTGGCAGGGCTCTCCTCGGGGCACATAGGATGCTCTCAGGCTGGCTGTGCTGACGGCGCTCTCTGCCCTCCACTGCAGCCATGAACAGGAAAAGTTTTAGCCGGCTCACCTGGTGGGTACACTCGGTTAGAGAGAGGATGGGGGGCTCACTCCTCCTCTGCCTCGAAGGAAGTGGCTTTGTTAACGCTCCAATGTCTTCTCCTCCCAAGGTTCAGAAGGCAAAGGAAGGCAGTGGTCAGCTCCAATGACAAGAAGATCCCCAATGGAATCTTGGAAGAGCAAGGTAAGGCGACGGGGCACCAGCCCTGGGAGGGGCTGGTTGTCTGTGGTTGAAGCCGAGGCTGGGGCCCGGAGCTGGAACCTGGGGGCCAGAGGGCAATGCCTTCTGCCTTGGACGCTTCCCCTTCCTCTCTCTTACTGCCTGGACCACTCTCAGGGAGTTGAAACTCGTGGCTTATACTCCCGTCTCCCGGTTCTTTTCCTCCCCAGCGTATAACAAGTCTGTAACTTGGGTGTCCAGAGCCTGAGGGGTTCAAGGCCATTCTCACGTTGCTCATTTTCCGCAGGCTTGCCAAGGACTCTCCCTCTGTCATCCTGAGATCCCGTAGGCAGCCCTCGGTGCTGACAGGCTCATTCTTGTCTGGCACCCAGCTGTGAGCATGGGGCAGTGGCAACACCAGGGATTTGGAGTCCAAGGTCTGGGGTGCAAACCCCAGCCCTGCTACCTAAGGCCTAGGGGACCTGGGGCAGGCCACTTCACGTCAGTTCCCTCATCTCTAAAATGAGGAGGTTCAGTAGATGGACCCCCAAGATTCCTCCCACCTCCAAACCTGTGGATTAAATTAATCCTTTCTCCACAGGCCATGGGGGGAGGGAAGCATCCTAATGCTCTGTGTTTTAGACTCAGCTACTCTCACAAATGCTGCTCATGAAGCCACAGGGGTGGGGGTGGCCTTTTTAGGTTTTTTTTCTTTCTTTCTTCCTTTTTTTTTTTAAACTCACACATTGAAAATGTGAAGAACGGTGCCTCAGACACTTTTAAGAGTCACGATTTGTGCTGGCGCCTGCAACTTCCTGTAACATGAATCTCACTTAAAAAAACAAAAAAGCCCAAGTGGGGGCCCCTGGTCCAGGTGAGTGAGGCAGAAGCTTCTGCCCACCCCAGACCTACAGGACCCTCCCCAGAAGAGCAGAGTGCTGAGCACGGCCTTGAAGGCAGATGCCAAGAAGGGTCCGGACTGTGGGAGCCAGCAAGCCCAGCCCCGGGGTGATCCCAGCATTATCACTTCCAGAGGGACTCAGCTCTCTCTGCAGGGCGTGACTCTGACTACTAAACTGAAATTGGCCCCACCGTCCTGGCCTGGGGTGCTGTGAATCAGCCCCCCACCCAAGACACTCGCAGCAGGGATCCCGAGGCCAGCTGGGGATCGGTAAGCTCGAGCCGCTGCCCATGCCTGGCTCCCTGGGGGCCTCTGGCAGGGGAGCGAGGGGAGGCTGGCTCTCGGCTCTCCCTCTGACACGACTGGCATTGGTGCCCTGTTCCGGCTGGGCGGAACAGGATTTTCCTGGGCACTGTGGGCTCAGCCTGGTAGCCTGTCAGGGACCGGGCTGTGCCAGGAGAAGTCTGAATGAGGTCTGTGGGGCCGCCCCAACAGGGCCGTTCTCAGGAGGAGTAGTAATTAGAGGCCAGTCAGTGCATGCGTGTCATTGTTTAGAACTCACCCTGAGCCCCCAGACAGCCTAGGCAAGACTGCGTCTTCACAGACAGCTAGTCTTCATCAACCCCAGCAACTACCTCCTTGTAGGAATTCACCTGGAAGAAAGGGAGGGAGGGAGCAGAGAAGAGATTTCTTAAGTCCTTAACCTGTGCCCAGTCCTCACCGGCAGGGCGGTAGAAAGGAGGACAGCAGTCTAGACTTAGAGTCAGAAAGACCTGAGCTCAAATCCACCTGGGACACGCCCCTGCTGTGTGACCCTGGGCAAGTCACTTAACTTGTGTTTGCCTCAGTTTGCTCATCTGTAAAATGGTGATCGCGGCAGCATCTCCCTCCCAGGTGGTTGTGAGCATTGAAAGACGTGAGAGACATCGCGCGCTCTGAAACCTTCAAGCGTTATGGAGGTGTGGTCTGGATAGAGCTGGCAGGAAGCCCAGCAATCATCTCTTCCCCTCTCCTCATTTTACCTCCTGGTTTGGAGTATTGGATTCTGGGCTGCCTGAGTAACTGGAATTCTTCAGCCTTCAAGGAGATAAAAGGGTTCTTTCCTTGAAGGGAATTATGGCTTTTTTCTCAAGTTTCCTCCATCCACTCATTCATTCGACAAACGCTTATTAATTACCTACTGTGTGGAGAGCCCTGTTTGCTTGATACTCAGAAAACACAAAACTTTGGAAAGATACAATCCCTGTCCTCAGGGAGTCTAGGAGAACTGAGATCTAGCCACCCTGCCCTGCATGTGAGAGGCACTTAGCTGACTCAGTTTACAAAACAGAATTCATTTGAAAAGAGCACATCCAGAGTGCTAGACTTGAATTTGGAAACCCTGGGTTCAAATCCTGGCTCACTGTTTGCCACCTGTGTGACCTTGGGTCCCCCTGGGCCTCAAGACCTTGAATTTTAAGTAAAGGGTAAAAGTAGATGACCCCAAAGTTCCCTCCTGGTTCGAGCTGCATCATGCTCTGGTGCAGGGGCAGAGCTTCCTGCTGGTGGGGGCTGGTCGTCACTTGGGGAATAGCTGGGGAGAAGGGAAACTGGCACGTTTCCTCCTCTAGGGGTCTGCCCTTACCACCTGGATGGCTTCTGGCCAGCCATTTCACCTCCATGGGGCTCTCTCAGTTTCCCCAACGGTCACGCGAGACGGTCTTTCCGGGCCTGGATCTGGGCCCAGGACGTGGTCACCTCTCTCTTCCTGGGGTGATTTAAGTGAGGAGGGCTGAGGGAGGGTGGACTTGCCAGGTGCTGCCCCCTTGCCTCGCTGGTCTTCAGAGGATCCCGGGGGTCTCCAAACAGAGCTTGGAGGGATCTCCCCCCACCCTCCATTTGGATTTGAGCCCAGGTCCTCGGAGGCCTTCCCTCCATCCTGAAGTCAGGTGTGTGCAGTGTCCATCAGCCTAAGCCCCGGCAGGCCTGCTCCCGGCTAACGGCTCTCCCGGACCTTCCGTCCCCACAGAGCAGCAGAGAGTGATGCTGCTGAGTCGCTCTCCATCGGGGCCCAAGAAGTATTTCCCCATCCCCGTGGAGCATCTGGAGGATGAGATCCGTGTCCGGTCAGCAGATGATTGTAAAAGATTTCGAGAGGAGTTCAATGTAAGTTTGTATGCTTTTTCTTCTTTCTCCCCTTGGGGACGGAACACATGAGGTCAGATCGTAGGACCAGAAAGTCTTAGAAATCAGGAATCCCTATCCTTTCGTTTGATGGTGAATTCAGTAGAGGCCTGAGGAGAGTCAAAAAGCCGAGCCTAGATTTGAACTCGGGTCCTGCCCTCAAGTCCAGCGCTCTTTGGACTATACGATGATGTCCCCTGGGATGGTCTGAGGCAGGGGTGGGGAACCTGAGGCCTCGAGGACACGGAATCAAACTTCACAGAACAAGTCCCCTTAATAAAAGGATTTGGTCTGTAAAATTTGGACTCGGTCAAGAGGCTGTACCCGAGGACCTAGACAGCCACGTGTGGCCTCGAGACCACAGGTTCTCCGCCCCTGGTCTAAGGTCTGAGCTGCTGGGGAGAAGGGAATGTTTTGTTCTTCATACCCGTATCAACGGTGCCCCACACAGCAGCTAGCACATAGTAGGTACTCAGTTAGCTTGTGGATTGATTGATTGATTCAGCCCAGCCTCCTCCTGGGAAAAAGAAGGAAACCCAGGCAGCTCAGAAAGGGAGAGGCATTTAGCCAGGGTCACACAGGGTGGACCTCAGAGCCAAGATTCGAACTCAGGTCCCCCGATGCCAAGTCCAGTCCTCTTCCCAACGTCCCCTTGCCTCTCAGCGATCCAAAGGTCTCCCAGCATCCTCGCCTCCATCAGAATGCCCGAGGATGGCAGAGCAGCTGCTCTGATCGACGCTGGCGCTTTGGTTTGGTGCCCGGTGAAGGCTTTATGTTGGCCAGATGGAGCCACTGACTCAGATCTAAATGAGGCCCACGGGTGCTTCAGGGAAGCCACGCCAACAAGCACTTAGTAAGCACTTACCGTATGCACCACTGTGCTTGTGTCCGAGCCCTGGCTATGCTAGAAAATGATAGTCTGCAGAGTGAGCTCTACCGGGGCCGGGGCTGGCGAGGTCGGGATCCTGTGACTGGGGGTGTGGTCTCGTGCCCCTACTGCCTGGTGTTACCCCTCAGCGTTGGTCCAGAAGACGGGGCAGGTAGCCAGGTGCACCCCTTGTTTGGCAAGTTCAGGGTGCTTGTGGATCCCCATTATTCCAGGGGCCCTTCACTCTTCACTGATCTACGTCACAGGCCGGTGAACGCCTACTCCTGGGAACCTCAGATTTGGGCCCCCTCCGAGGATTTCTGGTGCCTCTAAGGATCATAGATTCAGAGATGGTAGGGGCTCACGGGCCAACATGCCCAGCCTCTTCATTTTACAAGTGAGGAAACTGAGGTGAAAGGGACTTGCCCAAGGTCACACTAAATGACAAGGCCTGGCTTTGAGCCTGTTTCCTCTGACTCCAGGTCCAGCCAGCTCCTCCCTGCCCACCACCTTGTCCTGTGGGCATCCAGGTATGGAAGACAAGTACATAATTCAAGATAATTTCTGGGGCGATAGGAGAGAGCTATTCTAATAGGTACAAGTAACCTGGTAAATGGTGTGACACTCTCTGCCTCCCAGATCACAATCACATTCGAGCTCAGCAGAACAATTACTAGGGTGGAGCAAACAGAGCTTTGCCTCTAGGTGCTGAAATGCACTAACAAATTACTGAGCTTAACACTTTGTTAGCAAGATTAATTCATTTATATAAAAAGCTGCTAGACGGCAGGCATTTCCTTCCCAGCCCCCAGCCTCAAAGGAACAGCACTGTTGTGGCCCTGGGCCTTTTCTGTCCCCCACCCTCAACTGAATTTGTCTTCAAAAGTATATTTGAGATTATGATTTAGGGGCTGCTTTCCCCAAGTGTAAAAATTTCTAACTAGACTGACTTGCTGATAAAACATGGGAAGTCATACTAATAATTGACATTTATGGGTGCTTGCTATGAGCCAGGCACCGAGCTACACGCTTTTCAAGTATTATCTCATTTGATTCTCTTGACCACCCTGGGAGGGAGGTGCTATCATTATCCCCATTTTACAGATGAGGAAACTGAGGTAAACAAAGGCAAAGTGACTGGCCCAGGGTCCCGCAGCTGGTAAGGGTCTGAGGCTGGAATTGGATGCAGGTCTTCCTGCTCCCTAGCCCGATGCACCACCCAGCTGTCTCTACAGCGTTTGGTTTTGTAAACAGTAGACACAGGATAACAGCCCAGAGTCTGAAGCAGTCAATTGGCAAGGCTTTATTAAACAATCGCCACATGCCGGGCACTGGGATGAGCAGTTAATATACTGGGCAAGGCCCTCTGAGAGCTGCCAGCACGTCCACAAAGGGGTGTGGGCACGAGGCACCCAGAGCGGATGGAAGGCACCCTTGGAGAGCCCCGTGAGAGCCTCTGGGGGCAGCGGGAAAGGCCTCCAGCATCTGACTTTGAAGGGGGGTCTTGAAGGAAGCCAGGGACCCAAGCAATGGGAATGAGGGGCAGAACCCGGGCCGGGTGTGGTCGGGCAGCCAGTCCCCCTCCCCAGTCCCCCCTCCCCACCCGCCACCCACCTTTGCTTCTCATAGGGGGAGGGGGAGTTGGCTTCCTTAGCTTTGCCCACGTGTGCCCCCGCCTTGTTTTTTCTGAGAGACTCAGTCAGATTGAAAGGAATCGGAAGGCACCATCTTCAGATGAACCCGGCTGTGGTCAGAGAAGGCTGGAAGAGGCCGGCCAGGATTTCATTTCAGTAGAGTGGGCAGGGCAGCAGTCTCTGAGTCAGACTCTGATGTCAGTTCCTCCTTACTTATCATAAAACCCTCCCCAGACTTAATTTCCCCATCTCAAAAGTGGGGACAAACCCACTAGCAATCTTATCCATGCTCTGTGGTTTTCAAATTGACCTTCAGGCAAGAGGCCCCAGGAGGCTGCAGGGAGCAGAAGGGACCCTGGGAGATTTGAGAACTAGTATCAGCTTCTGTCGCTGACTGATGTGGAACTCGGAGCAAATGACTCAACTTCCCGGGTCCTCTGAAAAAATGGATGAACAAATGAACGTTGAACCAAATCCGAGAAGCGGGGAGAGCTCTCTGGGTGACGACCCAAACCAGACTCCGCCATGTGCCTGACGTCAAAAAAAAGGAGCTTAGCTCCGTGGAGGGAGCACGTGGGTGACGGTCAGTCTGCAAATCAGGGCCAAGAAGCCCCAAACAAGCTCGGCCTCTTCCTGTGGCCATCTCGTCCGGGGCCGGCCCAAACTCAGGAGCGGAGCGTTCCGGCCGATTCGTCCTCTCCCTGGGCCTCTAAAAGCGGGCAGCTGGGCTACGTGATCCATAAAGTCTTTTCCCGCTTCAGAACCCACAAGTATCTCTATCAGTTTTTATCCCCACATCCTTAGGAAGCTCTCTCTGTCTCTGTCTCTCCTCTGTCTCTCTCTCTGGCTGCCTCTCTGTTTCTGTCTCTGTCTCTTTGTGTCTGTCTCTGACTCTCTGTCCCTGGGTCTCTCTGTCTTTGTGTATCCCTCTCTATCTCTGTATATCTCTCCTCTCTCTGTCTCTCTCTGAATCTGTGTCTCTCCTCTATCTCTGTCTCTCTCTATCTCTGTCTCTGACTCTCTCTCCCCCTCCCACCTACCAGGGCCTGTCCCCCTCGGGAGTCCAGAGTGTGAGCTGTTGGCCTGAGAGACTTCCTCTTCCCCAAGGGCTGTTACAGAGCTCTGGTGGCATCTGGCCTGGGAGGGTTAGGCAGGAACACACAGCTGCCCGGGAGGGACCGTGTGGCCGTGTGGGCAGTGCTGCGTCAGGAGTGAGTGCACTGGGCTCTGCGATCATAGAAGGGACCTAAGAGGTCAATCTCCTCCTCATTTAGAGAGGAGGAGACCCCAGCCCAGAGTCCCCGGCCCACCCTCACTGCCCAGCTGCTAATGTCCTCCCCTTCTCCTCCTGAAATGATTTTGAATTTGTGGCATGTGTGTATTTATGTGTCCATCTGCTCTTTCCTCCCAGTTTCCTTTGAGGAAAAGACTGTTACCGGCATTCTACCTCTAGTGCCTGGTGTCTGGCACACATGAGCCTTCTCATAAATGCTTGGTGAACAAAGGAATGAATGAATGAATGAATGAATGAATGAATGAATGAATGAATGATTTGCTCAAGGCCCCACAACTAGGAAGTGGCAAAGCCTGGCTTCCGTTAGTTCTGGGGGCTGTATCCACCTACCACACTGTCTGCCTAATCATGACTGGTTCACCACGTGACCTCTCTGGGACTCAATTTCCTCATCTGTAAAATGGGATGGGATGGGACAGGGATGAGCCACCCAGATCCTGGAGATTCCTGGGGGAATGACAAAGCAGCTGAACAGGGCAGCGTTCTTTAGAGAGATGGGTTTTCTCAAGTCTTAACGGCTTGACAAGAAGAAAGCTGATTTAGCAGTCTGTGAACTCAGGGCACTTCCATGCTAACTTTGCACTTTTTCTCCAGTCTTTACCTTCAGGACATATCCAAGGAACATTTGAAATGGCCAATAAAGAAGAAAACAGAGAAAAGAACAGATACCCCAACATCCTCCCCAGTAAGACTTTCAGCTTTTTTTCCCCTCTTCTGCATGCGTGATGGGGTCACGGAGCCCATCATTTCCCCTGTGGTTGCTTCCCGCTCCCCCACCCCCCGCTCTGGGCTGGACCCATCCCATATGCAATCAGCAGGAGTGACGTCTGCCATGTACAGATAACAGTTATCACAGTGAGCAAGCTGTCTTCTGGGCATCCGTGGCTGGGGGACCTCTGGGCTAAGGCCCCTGCCCTGAGGCTGGTGTGGTGACCCAGCCGGCCAGCCACACCAGGAAGCTTGTCCTGGGTCAACTTCAGGAGGCCACCTCTGGAGGTCCGGGGGTGCCCTCAGCCCTGCCAGGGAGGCCTCTCCCCTGGCCTCTCTTGACCCAGAGTTATGGGCAGCAAAGGGGAGATGGGAGCTGATGGGGAGGCCAGAGGGTGTTTATCAAATGCACAAAATAAAATCCAAAGGATTTCAGAGGAAAGCAATTATGTTGAAATCAACACACAGTTTTTTTTTCCATCCAAGTTCATAGACCCCCCTGAAATCTGTCCCCACCCCTTGGACCCCAGCTTAGGAGCCCTTACCTGTGGGAATCCCCACCAAGGCAGGGAAGGAAGGGACCGCTTATCCCTTAGGGAGTGACTTCATATGAGCTCAGGGAGGCCCAGAGAGGTCTTCAGGGATGGATATATGCTGTGTGAGCTTTCAGAGTGCTGGGCTGTCTGGGAATACATCCACCTCTAGTAACGAAGGCAGTGATCACCAACATTCCTGTAGTATTTCAAGGCTGGCAAAGCACTTCACATACATATCTCATCTGGTCCTAACAAAAACCCTTGGGAGGACTATTATCCCCTTTACAGATGAGGAAACCGAGTCTCAGAAAGGCTCAGGAAGAAAGTGATTTGCCCAGGGCCACGCTGCTGCCTTCAGTGGGTGGGCGAGAATGCTGCAGACATCCTACATCCGTGTGCAGTTTTACCAAAGTCCCAGAGCCTCTGTGATCTGATCACAGCTTTCTACAGTAAACATCTGGATGGTTTGTTTGCATGGAACCAAACATCCAGATATTTGGAAATCAAAGCCAAGGCCCATCCCAGAGAATTCTCCAGGGTCACCCCAGGTTCATCCCCTGTGGGTCTTGGCTGGGGGCAGCCTGCTCCTGCCCTGTCCTCCAGTGAGAGGGATGGCCGTTCTCAGGGTCTCAGGTTCAAGGGCTGCCTTGATGCCCGACTGAGCTTTTCCATTTGCCTTCTGGCTGCTTGGCATCAATGGTGTAGACACACCCTTTGGCTGCCATGGTAGGCAGTGTTGCAATTGGCCAACAAGGTCTCCTCTCCCATTCTGAGTGTCTGCCACAGCCTGGGTATGTCGCAATGTCCTGT